CTCCGAGTGCAGGCTGGGAGAGCTGGGGTTGTGGGGAGCAGAAAAGGCTTCGGGGAGGCCTTAGTGCGGCCTTTCACAGCTCGGCAGAACGACGGGGACAGACTGTTTAGTAGGGCCGGTAGCAATAGGACAAGGGGGAATGGTTTTAAATTAAAAGAGGGGAGATTCAGACGGGATAGAGGGGAGAAATTTGTCACGCTGCGGGTGGTGATGCCCTGGCACAGGGTGCCCAGAGGGTGCTGGGTGCCCCATCCCTGGAGACATCCACGGTCAGGGTGGACAGGGCTTGGAGCAACCTGATGTGGGTGAAGATGTCCCTGCCTGTGCCAGGGGCTGGGTGGACTTGGAAGGTCCCTTCCCACCCAAACCCTTCTTTGAGTCCATGTTTTCTTGGTGCTTCAGGTGAATGACTGCACCTTGCTCGGGAGCCCGGGTGTTTGCAGTTGAAGCCTGTTTGAAGGAGGCGCTGGTCGCTCCCGTGCAAAGCTGCAGCCTGCAACGACAGGAGCTGCGTTCACGGGCCAGGAGATAGGTGCCGGTGTCCCAGCTGGCTGAGCTGTCTTTGCGTGGGGACGTGCGGGAGGTTTGGCTGCTTCAGCAGGGAGGTCTGAGGGCAGGGCGAGCCCTCTTCGTGACGGGGCGCGTGTTGCCAGCGTGCTCCGTTTTTGCTCTCCCTGTTCCTCGAGGAACCGGGATCGTGATTCAGCAAAACGGGGATTGTGTGTCTTCGTTGATGCGTCGTATCGGGGTCTTTTGTGTTGGTGGTGGCTTTCGGGGTCCTGTCCCAGCGGGGGCTGGTGAGCAGGTGATGGGCAGGGGGTTTGAAGGCAGGGCATCTCAACGCTTCAAGGCCCTTCTGGGTGCTGTCAGTACAGTAAATACAAAGATTAGTGCTGTCAGTACAGTAAATACAAAGATTAATGCCGTCACAGGCGCTTCCTTACCTGTCACACCCTGGCTTGCAGAGCATCAGAAGTGGTGAACAGACCTGGAGTGCCCCAGGTGGGAAGGAGAAAACCACCTGGATTATTTTTCTTTAATGACAATATATGTGGCTTAAATCTGCCCGGTCACCTCTGCCACTGGTTCAGCCTCCCGTAAAATCTTGAAGAACTGCATGCGGTGAGGCAGAGACATTATTATTGTGCGCCACGGGGTTTTATCTGCGCTCGTGGGAGCATTTGGGTGCCAGGAGCACCCTTTGTAGGTGCCCGGCGTTTCCTTGTGTCCTGCTCCGAGTGCATCGTCGGGGTGTCGCACCTCTGAAAAGCCCAATTCTCCCAAAAAGCCCTGTGGGTGAGCCAGCACGGGTACTACCCAGCCACTTGGCAAATGGTTTTAAGCTCTCGAGGTGTTAAAAGCTGTAGGAATAACCGTGGCTGTGGGTAAGTTACTGTGCCGGTTGACTTCTCCCTGAAGAGCTGGCAGGCGCGC